GTGAGGGAGGAATGGGGCACGAGCCCCCGATGGGGAGGACTGGGGTGGCTCTGCAGGCTCCTCGGGGTGGAAGCTCTCCTGCAGTCTCCCGATTGACACCCTCCCCCGGATGGCAGCCTGCAGCAAGTGCAGCCGGGCTGATAGCTGAGTGCTGTGATGTGCCGAGTGTGGGCACTCAGGGCACTCCAAGCCAGGACTGCTTTGCAAGTGGGGAACCCCTGAGAACTGTCTGTCCGGGATGGGGGTCAGGTCCCTTTAAGCACAGCCCTCGGCTAGCCTGAGACAGCAGCTCCACACTCTAAGTCCTAATCTGATGCCTGCAGCAAGTGCAGCCGGGCTGATAGCTGAGTGCTGTGATGTGCCGAGTGTGGGCACTCAGGGCACTCCAAGCCAGGACTGCTTTGCAAGTGGGGAACCCCTGAGAACTGTCTGTCCGGGATGGGGGTCAGGTCCCTTTAAGCACAGCCCTCGGCTAGCCTGAGACAGCAGCTCCACACTCTAAGTCCTAATCTGATGCCCTTCTGGCACTGTTTCTAGCCATCCTTAACCTCGGTTCAGGGTCCACTCAATGTGGACATGCTAGTTCGAATTCGCAAAATGCGAATTCGAACTAGTTTTTAGGTCTAGATGCACTAGTTCGAATTAGCTTAGTTCGAATTAACTAATTCTAATTAAGTTAGTTTGAATTAGTGCTGTAGTGTAGACAAAGTGTAGTCTGTTGCTTCAGCCTTTAATCTACACTTTGTATCCGTCGTTGACCTAGATTCTCCTGTTCTAGAGAATACTCGAGCTGTTTAAAATTTCATTCCCTTGCTTAAGATGCAAGACTGTTTCCCTTCCTCTTAGCTATGCTTCTCTCCAGTGTTTCCCACTTATAGACACTTGTACATAAAAATGAAACTCTGACTGTGGTGCTGTGTCTAATGGGCTAGCAGAAATGAGGGACACCTGTATTGCTGTCAGTGTGGGAAATGTGCAGATTAGGAGCAGTGAAGACAAGGCATCAGGAAGTGGGGCAAAATCCATGCTGGTGTGGCTCCAAAGGCTTCAGCATAATTTACATCCGAGACAATTTCCCTCTTTATCACCAGTTCTGTTCTTGGTGCCAGTGTAAACCCACTGGTCAGTGTGTGTTGCATGTTCTCCTCTGTGCCTGAGCCACAAAAGATGCATGCAAGGATGTCACAGACTCCTGCTTCCAAGCTTCTTTAGCTCAAGCCGTGGTGAGTTATACTTTTAGAGCTGAAGTTCCCCATTTTAATCTGTGGTATCAAGCACGAGGGCAGTCATCACACCAAGATCACCAGTGCTTCAGAGACAATCAGAATGTGCATGCTTCCAGCTAAGTGAATGTCTCCCATTCCAGTCCCATCATGCTCTCATGTTCAGGTCCCAGGCCTGCTCTGCAGCCTGATCCCCAGCATTTTTTTCCATTCCATTTGTCTTAGGCTAATTTTCAGTGTCTGGGTTTGGTTCTGGACATACAACACTCCAGTCATCTGAAGAAGTGGGCTGTCCCCACGAAAGCTCATGATACCATCTTCATGTTTTGTTAGTCTTGAAAGTGCTACCAGACTATTTGTTGCTGTTTAAGTTTATAAGATGGAAAAGATCTGTCTGAATTAGCCTGTCCTCAGTTAGTTCAGGACAGACACTGAAACTCTAGTGCAGGGGTCTCCTACCTTTTTAAATTGAAGTGCAATCCAAGATCTACCTCAAACCCAAATACCCTGGCCCTGCCTCCTTTGTGCCCCTTCTCCGAGGCCCGCCCCTGCTCACTCCATCCTCCCTCTCTTCGTCCCCCATCCTCCCTCACTTTCCCCAGGCTGGAGCAGCAGGTTGGGGTACAGGCTCTGATCTTGGATTAAGGGATCTGGAGTGCAAGAGGGGCTCTGAGCTGATCTTGGGGCAGGCAGTTGGGGTGCAAGAAGGGGTTCTAGGTGCAGGCTGGGAGGATGTTTGGATGCAGGGGTGCTTGGGGTTAGGGCAAGGGTATGAGGGGCAGGAGGGGGTTCATGACTGGAGTAGGGCTTCAGGACATGGGCTCCGACTGGGCCCTGCTTACCTCAGGTGGCTCCTGAGTGGTGGTACAGTGGAGCTAAGGCAGACTCACCCCTATTCTGGAGACAGGATATAGGGTGGGAGAGGGTGCACCTTGACATCAGCACCCCTCCTCTCCCTTCCCTGCCCTGCACAGCAAGCAGGAGGCTCTTGAGGATGGGGGAGGCAACTCCAAGGCAAAGGGCAGGAGATGAGCAGCATTAGGTAGAGGGGCAGTTAAAGTGCCTGCACTTGACAGCCTTTTGGCCAAACCAATCAGGATCCCCTGTCAGAGGCTCCAAGATCTACCAGTAGATCCCGATCTACTGGTTGGTGACCAGTAGTGTAATATTACCAGTAAGTATTACTCTAGTGTAATAAATGAATGCATGTTAAAGAGAGAAATCGGTAAGCATGTGAATTACTTAGTGCCAAGGACAGGAAACTGACGGACAATCCCCTTGGGACCTTTTCTGCTGACTTTGTGTGGCCTTGGCCAGATGTCTTCATGTGCCTGTACCTCGATCCTCCCCATTTGTAAAATGGCGGAAGCACTTACCTCTGTCTCCTCAGGAGTCCTGGGGGAGTCGTTAACGTTTGTGAAGTACTCCAGAATCCTTAGGTGAAAGAAAAGGTAGTGACATGCCAGCCTCCACTCCCCACAATCACTAGGCCATTTGTAATAGCTCCTTTGTGTTCCTAACACTCCTCAGTGCTAGAGGGCCAGGCCCCTGCTTTCTCCTGTCAGTCAGTCCACACGTAGGATTCATTTCTTCTGCCAGTAGTGCACATGCATAAACTAAATGCTCTCATGACTGCACTGCTGCCAGCCCTGTCCTTCCTTACCCCTCCCCTTTGTGGGTACACCATCGAATACAGAATTACCCCACTTCCTGACTGCTCTCTAACATGTAGATGGTAAACTCCTTAGGGCAAGAACGTGTCTTTCCTTCTGGAAAAGGCTGAACATTTGTAGGTACTGTCAAGGTAATAGAAATGAGCACTCAACATTATTAACAGAATCATAAACAATGTGTTTCATTGAATTGTATCACGGTAATGTACAGAGAAAAATCTGGAGAGACGAAATGTTCTCTGGTTGGTCCAAATGGCAGAATTAGTGGCTTTTTGAAGGCAATATAGTAGTAATGTATTGGGAGGGCTGTGGAGCTACCAGGAAGACAAGGGCACTGCTGCCCCTACCACCTCCTCCATGTCCCTTTTCATACTCCAGTTCTCTCCAGACCCAGGGAAGGGAGCATAGGCGTGTGCAGCCAAAGAATTTTTTTAAAATATACTTTGACCCCTGTTAACCACACCTCTGACCCCCACTGGCCACACCCCCTGACTCCCATTGGCCACACCTCTGGAGGTAACACTCTGGGGACAAGATGGACACATGACCAGAAGTAAAAGGTGTCATGTGACCCCCCTCTAAGGACTTTTCCCACCATCCTCCTACCAACAGGGATTAATTTGGCCCCCACCAAACCCCCTTCATGCAACTATCCTGCAGTTGCATTACCCCAATGTGTGTGATATTAACTTGGGGGCGGAGAGGCTGGGGGAAGTGTTCCCTCAGAGTTTCCTCCCATGAGCAGAATCAATTTTGTGTTGTGCACCAGTCCTGAGTTCATGTGGCTTGTTTGGATGTGCCACTGTGGCACCCAAGTTATTAATAAATATCTCCTAAACCTCTACCTTTTCCCTCTGCTGCCATGTCTCCTCCCCTTGCTCCATCAGCTCCCCTGGTGCCTGCTGCCCCCCAACTCCTCACCCTCCTCTGCTGTCCTGACTCCTGCCCTCCTCACTGCCCTTAGCCCTCCTGCGACCTGCCCCCCTCCATCAGCCCTTCTCTGCCCCCTGTGCCCACTCCTCCAGTAGCCCCACTCTTATCATGTGAGCTACCACTCTTCATCCCCTCCCCAACACCTCCCTCTACACACCTGCCCTGCCTCTCTCCTCTGGTGCTGGTCCCTCCCCTGCAGGTGTCTGCCCTTCTGCTTCACCCCTGGAATCCCCTGGCACCTGCACCTTCCCTTAGCCCTGAGTCCTCCTGGTGCCTCACCCTTCCCTCACTATCCCTGCCCTCTTTTTCCCTGGTGCCCACCCTTTTTTTTTAATCGGCTAGGGGCCACGAATAACGGACCGTCCGGGCAAAAAACCGACACCTGGCAACACTAAAAGAAGATGATAGTACAGTTGCTGCAGTGGATTCTTCTTATACATAAAATGACGCTGAAGATTTTTCTAACATTCAGTTTAGCTACGCATTACATTCTTATATTTGAAAATAAAATTATGTTGCAACTCTCCAAATAAATACTTACTGAAGAAGCTCATTTGCTTTCAAGATGAAGGAGCCCACTGCTGTAATAGCATCTGCAAATAGAACAATCATTTTTAATTTTCAAAAGTAACATTAGCGGGATAAGTAGTGAGCCAATTACTGTACCTTCACTTCCTGCTGCATCCAATCCAAGAGACTCATATTTTTGTTTCCATGATGCCATTCCTTTCAATTCACTCAAATGGTACAACAGTGCCTCAGAACCACTATTACAAAGAAGGACAATTTCTCAATTAAGTGGAGACTCATTGTTTAACTGACAAGCATTTTATACATGAATAATTTCTTACTCATAAATCACTTTCTCATGCTTACTTTGTAAAGATCTTTCAAATCTATCGCTATCCTCATTTTACAGAGAGCAAGCATTCTGTACAAATGTATTACCACTATTTTTTAAATCAGAGCCCCACAGCTCTTAAACATCAGATACAGCACATTTCCTATAGCTTTTCTAGTGCTAATAAGTTATATCAATCAAATATTTATTCCCTTTCAGTGCTTTAGGGAGACAAAAGTTAATGTTCAAACTACATTTTATAGTTTTCTGATGTCACAAAATAATAAAACTAAACTTTGTAGGATCGTGGCAAGAAGTGATTATGTTTTTATTGGTCTCAGTTTCTTTCCAACAAATACTTACTAATACATTTATTTGTGTAATTCATTAAGATTTGTACAAACCCTATGACATACCTCTGCAAGTGACTTATGACTAATTTTTGTATACTGGAGTAGGAAGACTCTATGGACTGACCAAGCTTTTTTAAACCCTGATAGAAAAGAGACATACTTTATTACAGTATATTAATAAGACACTTATGAAAAATACTAAAATAGACCATTTAAATATAGTAAATATCATCATACCTTTACTGTTAGTTGGTTCATTAAAAGTGCTTGAAGTTCAAGGCTAAGTGACAAAAGGGCTAGGTGGCCCGAGACATTAGGGTGTGCCTGGGCACACCTGGCACACCCTGTGCAAAGAGCTATGGAAGGGAGCATCCTTTCTATAAGGCTGATCTGTCCATCTGTTTTCAGTACTCTGCAGAGGGGAAGGGGCAGATGGATCCCCAATCCAATCACCTCATCCTCCAATGGATATCGTCAGACTCCACAGGAAGAAGACCCTCTTTCCCCGAGACATTAGGGTGTGCCTGGGCACACCTGGCACACCCTGTGCAAAGAGCTATGGAAGGGAGCATCCTTTCTATAAGGCTGATCTGTCCATCTGTTTTCAGTACTCTGCAGAGGGGAAGGGGCAGATGGATCCCCAATCCAATCACCTCATCCTCCAATGGATATCGTCAGACTCCACAGGAAGAAGACCCTCTTTCCCCCTTGCTAATTCCATGCCTCCCCCATCCTCCTACCACTTCCTAACTCTAAAATGTTTCAAAGTGGCTTCTGGCAGGTTTTGAGCCAGCACAGTGCAGAGCGGCAGCAAGCTTTCCTGTGAAAAGCCCTGGGCAGGAGCCCTGCCATAAACAGATTCACCAGACAAGGTACTAGGGAGACTCTGTAAGCAAGTTTTGTTATACAGTGATTAAAACTAAAGTTGAAGATTCAAGCATTTTAGACTAAAGCGGAATACTAAGATTGTGCATGTAACTATCTATACAAGGATGTTTTAGAGATGTGATTTTATAATCTCCAGCAACACACTGATAAAACATTTAAAGCAAATTTTAAACTAAGGTCCTGTAGACGTGTTACACTAATGCACAACTAATTGTTGTCAGGAAATTCAAAAACTGACTGTATATAGGTTCATGTTGGCACATGCCTGTTAAATGGCTTCATTACTGCTTAATGGCTCTTTCAGAAGTTCAGTGTTATGCTAATAGGTCTGACAAGCTGGAAGGCTTTTTGCTTTTAAGTAATAGACTCTCAGCAGGCTGCAAGAGCCTGTTGTGGGAAGGGATAGAAAGAGGGGGAAGGTGGAGCACTAAGACGCAGGGGAGACATTGCCTCCCCTTGCCTTTTATACAGGTGGCCCATGATGACCACAAGGCTGGACAGTGGGTCCTTAACCAGACCTATGATAGGTCAGGAGACCAATCTAATGATATATTACAATGTAATATATGGGTTTATGGGAAATAGATCTTGTCAAACTGAGGTTACAAGTTTGGGAGATACAGAAGAGAATTACCTCAAGACATTTTCTTGGTGCCACGTGACATGTTCACTAAAACTAGTAACAATGTAAAAACAACATGAAGCAGCCAATTTTAAATCTCTTTGATAAGTGATAAATCTGAGAATGCAGTTAAGTGGGGAATAGTCATCAGGTAGGTCTATTTACCACAGAGAATGATCAGTTCCTGTACTTACATTATTTAATATTTTTATCAATTAAGAAAAACAATTACTGATTAAAGTTTTCAGACAATCCAAAAATTGGGGGAATGGTAAATAATCAAGAGGACAGACCACTGCCACAGAGTAATCTGGATTACTTGGTGAATGGGCACAGGCAAACAATGTGACTGTGTTTATACTGGTCAGTTTTTCCGGAAAATCAGCCACTTTTCCGGGAAAAACTTGCCAGCTGTCTACACTGGACGCATGAATTTCCGCAAAAGCACTGACTTCCTACTGTAAGAAATCAGTGCTTTTTGCGGAAATACTATTCTGCTCCCGTTCAGGCAAAAGTCCCTTTTGCGCAAAGCTTTTGTGCAAGAGGGCCAGTGTAGACAGCTCAGATTTGTTTTCCGCAAAAAAGCCCCGATCGCGAAAATGGCGATCGGGGCTTTTTTTGCGCAAAAGCGCGTCTAGATTGGCATGGATGCTTTTCTGCAAAAAGTGCTTTTGCGGAAAAGTGTCCATGCCAATCTAGACACTCTGTTCCAAAAATGCTTTTAACAGATAACTTTTCCGTTAAAAGCATTTCCGGAAAATCATGCCAGTCTAGACGTAGCCTGTGTGCTTTAAAATGGCCAAATGTGAGGAAGAAAGACAGCAGAGGGAAGCAGTGGCTCTGAGCACTATGGTTATAGGACGGGTGCCAACCAGTTCGAGACGAAGAGCCAAAAGAGCGGTGACTAGAGTGCGAAGGGCCACATACTATATATTTATCTTTAGATATCTATATGTAGCCCAAGGTCCCGTGTGTTTCAGCAGCAGCCCTGGGAACTACAAGTTGTGGACTACAAACTGCGGCATGTTGGGAGAACTTCCTGGTTCCTGCCAGGATGTGCCCTCTGCCCCCAGCAGGGTCTCAGCAAGGACTGTGCTAGAAGCAGCACACAGGCTGCATGCTGAGAGAAGGGGCTGCTGAACTGTTTTCCTGTTCTATGTTTTTTACAGGATTTGTCGGAGTGGGTCTGGTCTGAGGTGCACTCACACATGCACAACGCAGAGCACACCAAGCAGCCTCAGGCCTAGCCCTCCCCCCACAGGGGTGTAAGAAGTCATAAGCTTCCCCTATGCTGATAACCTCCCACTGGGCTAGCCAACAGGAGGGGTTACATATAGATAGATAGCTATAGTATACAAAATGTAGTGATAAAAATAACATTACAGGACATTTCAGACAAACCCCAATAAAAAAGTCTCTAGTCACTTAAATTCACGGCCAATCCACAGTCCTTCAGAGAACTTGACAAGGAACAAATGTCAAATTAAAAAAAAAAACTTCAAAAATACAGTAATATTCTTACACTTAAAAAAAAAAAAAGCATCCCCACCATGTATTTTAAATTTAACACTACTGCCCTATGATGTCCTGTTTGGTTTTTTTAACTTAAACTGAACTGAGAAATAAATTAGCACAATTCGAAGTGCCTGTTTCACTCCAGCTTGTTGATCTCTGGTATGGTTTCCTCATTTTTGTTACTTATGAAGATTATGGCTTTTTTATAGTTCTAAAAATTCAGGTTTGTCCCAGACTGCAAATATGAGAGGTTCAAAAACAATCAGGGAGAGACTCATACCTCAGAATAATTGTTCCAGCCTGGCAAAGAATAGCCTTTGAATTTTCTTTAAAGAAACACAGTATAAACCAGGTACATGCTGATACTTTTTTTGCCCTGGAATTTAAATGACATCTGTGTTGGCTGCCTTATTCTGCACCCATGAAGACTTTGAGTTTAAAATGCTTCAGTCCCCTCCCTACCCTGCTCTAACCCAATCCCCCTTCTCTCCCCCAGAGTCAGGCACCCCCAGCCTCCCCACTCTAACCCCCAGCCAGGCATTCTTAGCCCCTCCCCACTCTAACCCAGTGCCCTCCTTTCCCTCCAGATCCAGGCGCCCCCAGTCCTCCCTCCACCCCTGCTCTAACCCAATGCCTGAGTCCCGGAGCTGCCACCGCCACGCGCTTCTCCCTCCAGGCACTGGGGTGCGTGCGCAGAGTGGGCAGCCGTGAACACTCTGGGCGCATGGCTCAGAACTACCAAGAGCCACATTTTTTAAGCAATGAACTGTGGGGTGGCCACCAGCTATAGGAGATGATCAGCTCAACACAAACTTCCAATGTGACATTGTGGACAAGGGGCAATCGCAGTCCTTGGAAGTATGAACAAGAGACTATCAAGTCAGACGGGCGGAGAGGGGGGTTACACTGCTGCTGTCTGTACATGGCACTGGTGCACCCACTATTGGAATAAAGTGTCCTGTTCTGGGGGTGACGTTCAAGAAGGATGTTGAAAATGGAGAGGGTGCAGAGAAGAGCCATGAGGCTAAATAAGGGATTGGAAAATATGTCTTAGTCTTCCAGTGCATATCCACCTGGATCCCTGGGTGAAGGGGTCAGAATTGTTTTGGCGTTTGCTGTCTGTGGGCCTGCATATATGCTCTGCATTCCCTCTCCTCCGGTGACACAGATGCACCCGGGCAGGCGTATTACACCAGTGTCCAACCACCCTCCTCTGAAGGGGATCTTGTGGGATCTCCATCAAAAGCTAAGGACTAGCTGATGATCATGGTTACTGTGGGATATTTGTACAGGAAACAGTCCGAGTTTTATGTAACATGTTCTACAGGGTTCCAAAAGGGCTGGAAGTGAAACTTATCACCTGAGACGGGGTGGGGCGCAGATGACTCAGTCGACTTTAACAATTTACCTCTGTTGACTCAGCAGCCTAGCCCTGTATTTACAGCCTGGGGCAGATGCCAGGCTTGGACACTAATAAAGACAAAAACACTGCAAGGCTAGTCCCTGGGCAGATCTATATTAAACTGGAAGATTGGGCTGAAACACACAACTCCAGCTATGGCAGGAGTCAGCAGGGGCACCCTCAGTGTTCCATTTAGCAGGTCCTTACTAGACGCATTCAACTGAATGTAGGAACCTCTGCAGCGCTGATCCTCTGTTCAGTATAGACACGGCTCCTGGTTCAGGGGCCATCAGGACTGAGTTGACGTTAATGAATGCCTGGGTTATGAAATGAAACAGAAGTCTGGGACTGCACACGAAAAGGGCGCACTTAATTGTCCATTATGGAGAAGCTAGTCTGCCAGCAGGAGTGTCTCATGGAAAGTGGAGCATAGTTCTCTGGACTGGACAAGCACTTCATGGACTAGTCACAGGAGGAGAAATATCTTAGGAACACGTGTTAAAAGAGTAGATTATAGATGGCTTGTTATAGTATTCTTTTACATGTAGCTTTATGTTTCCAAATCTTTATAGTTGCTCTTATTTGACTTTTTAAAATTCCAGGTGGGGAACCTAAGGCCTGGGAGCCCAATCTGGCCCCTGGCTTACCTGGATCCAGCTGCTGAGGCTCGGTGCTTTCCCTTCTAGCAGCAGCTGGGAGCCAGCGCTGGTACTCCAGCCACGCCCCTCCTGCAACCCCCGCTGCATGGCTGGATTGGGTGCTGGAACCGCCTCACGGGCCAGAGTCAGGCAAGCTGGGGCTGGATCCAAGCCACAGGCTCTGCCTGGCTGGGGAGTTAGCAGCTCTGTG